AACCTCCCTTTGAGTCCAAGAGACTCCAAAACAATATAGGCTATTGCCATGGCCCTTGGTTGTCTCAGAGAACTTGCAGATAAGTCCCTATTGTTAAAGACACCTTGCATTTTCCACACAGGACTTGGAGGAATCAAGCAGCAACTGAAGTGGAAACCTCCTCCCTTTGGAGCAGCACTCATAGTATCACAAGTTGCTGTGCAAACAGTCAAGGGAGAAAAGTAATCAATAGTCCTACACAGATGTGAAGCCTACATAATCATAACAATGACTCCCCTAGTGAAATATTCCTAATGATGCAATAGTGGCACTTCTACCTTGGGGGTCATCAACAATTATTTAAGTAGGCTTAAGGCCCACTTAATAGGGAAAATTTCTAATTTGTGATATAAATGTAGGCCAAAACATCTTGGAGAGATCATTGACCCCAAAGGACATACTACTGCCATTTTCTGAAACCAATATAATTTCTAACTATATTCTAAATGCTTATTCTTATGTCTTATATGTATAACTCTCACCACCCATCAAGGAATCTTTTCACAACAGATGGAGAATATTACAAAGTTTTACAACTGTTCAAAATGCAGAGAATAAGTGGCCATGTGGAGCCCAGCCTCAATTTAAACGCCTACATGGCAACCCATATACCTAAGGCTCAGGTGACATTGTGGAAGAGAGGCCAGGAAGATTGTAAGAGCCAGAGGACTAGGACATGTGCTGCTAGATAGAGGGAAGGGGTGCCCATGAAATCTCAACAATGTTGTTGCCTAAACAAGAGCTACATAATTACAGCACCAATTGACAGGCCAACATGGACAGGGCAAATTTCACAAGATCCTTCCTGTAGATAAAGAGTAAGAGGCAATCAATGGTTGCTGAGGGAGAAAGAACCAGGTTTCTCGAGAAATGAGCAACTCGATATTTTAGACAATCCCAAGTGTTCAGAACTATATATATATATATGTGTGTGTGTGTATATGTGTGTATGTGTACCATTAAGAGGAACACACACACATACACACACACACATATATACCTCTTAATGGACTAGGTAGATTATATATAGACATAATATATATATAATTATTACGTATATAACAATCAAAGAAGAGGTCACAAAAATTGAATTTAAGTGGGAGGGGAACATGGGAAGAGTTGGAGGGGCCAGAAGGAGTTGAATGATGTAAATATAGTACTAATGTGTGAAATCCTCAAAAAATAAAAGCATATAGTGGACAATTACTTTAAATCACAAATCAGTTAATTATCCAATATGCCTTTAAGAAACAATCTCAAATTTTTAGTATCATAGAGTTTACTTTTTATTTTTATTTTATTTTATTTTGG